GGGGTGGTGGTGGTGGGGGCTTTTGGGGCGGGGGTCCCGGGGGACTTGAGCAGCTGGATGCTGAAGGTGGGCGCCAGGCGGAAGCAGCGTTTGGCCTGGAAGAGCTGGGAGGACATGGCCTGCAGGTTGGAGCTGATGCTGGGGTCGGGGTGCGTCAGGGGCCCGTTGGCGGTGGGGGGGGGCTCCTCTCTTTGGGCCTGGGGCTGGTTCTTCACCTGCTCCTCTCTCTGGTGGGGGCTCCGGCGCTCCGAGCTCTCCTCCATGTCCTCCAGGTCCGAGCGGGACTCCTGACTGTTCATGTCCGAGTCCGTCTCCACGTCGAAGGCCGTCCCTCCGTCCTCGTCCTCGGAGCCGCTGTCCCAGCTCGCCTGCCCCGCCGCGCCCGCTCTCTTGGGCTCCCTCTTGAGGACGGGGGGGTTGGTGGCGGCGGGGTTGGGGCTGGGGGCGGTGATGAGCTCCTCCTCCTCTTCCTCCTCGCTGTCGAAGCCTTCGCTCAGGTCGCTGTCGTCCTGGCCGGGGGCGTGTTTGCGCGGGCAGCGGCGGCGCCTCAGTCTGGACAGACGGGTGAACTTCTTCTTGTGTTTGTGCTTGTCCTGGTCGGGTGCGTCGGCGTGGAGCTCCCCCTTGTGCCCGCCCTGCGCCCGCTCCTGATCCACAGAGCCGTTGTGCAGAGGCTTTTCTGTGAGCTCAGAGACGGGAGCCAAGTCCACGTCGTCTGAAAACAACAGCAGACGACACGAGTCACAAACTACACACGTTTATGTCAAAGATTAAAAAAAAAACATTGATGTCTCTGTCCAATCAGAACCTCCCCCCCCCCAGACGCTCACACACATTAAATAAAAAACATTTCACCAGTTTAACACCAAACAACAATTCAACATTATTATTTACATGGAAACTACAAGACATAATTTGAATTCAGAAAAATAAATCTGGAATTACTAAACCTCATGTGAACGTGGACACTGGGACAGTTATGGCCCATATCACTGTACCTGGGCCAGGGTGTGTGTGTGTGTGTGTGTGTGTGTGTGTGTGTGTGTGTGTGTGTGTGTGTGTGTGTGTGTGTGTGTGTGTGTGTGTGTGTGTGTGTGTGGTCTGGGTCGTACCTGGTCCCTCTGTGTGGAGGGGGGGGGCCTGGGTCTCGGTCTCCTCCAGCTCCGCCTGCAGTCGGATGTTGACGTGGTTGACCAGGTGAGAGAACAGGGCCAGAGTGAAGGCGATGGAGGCGCTGTACTGTTTAGAACCTGCAGCACAGAGACGCAGGTTCACACAGGTTCACACAGGTTCCTCACACAAGTTCCTCACACAGGTTCCTCACACAGGTTCCTCACACACACTCATGAAGTTTGCACCGTTTTATTGGAGCCTTTTACATTTTAGATCGAGGTTTATTTAATGTGAAGGTTCTCTTCTACGGAGGCTGTCACATGATCAGCCCCTGAGGGTTTGTGGGGACGTCCTCTGCACTTCTCCTCAAACATTCACCCTGAGCTCCCTGTCCACTCTCTGACCTGTGAGGATCTGTTTAGCTCAGCTCTGCTGATACGTCGCACTTTGCACTTCAGCATATCGACTGTTCGCACTTAAATCTGGTGCAGATATTTTGTTTGGACAAACCTGAAGCCTGAAGAACACAAAACTGTCCTTTCATATCGTCCAACCAAAAAATATCAGCAGAGCTCGTCAGCCCTCGGTGAGTCTGGTTTGTAAAATATCAGTGCCACATCGGTTGATCTCTGTTTATAAACGTCTCAAATGACAAATGTAGTGTTGAAGTCGAGACGCACTAATCGAGACTAAGACCAGTCCAAGACCACAGGGTCCCAAGACCGAGACAAGACCGAGACTTTTAAAGGTCAAGATTGAGACTAGACGAGACCACGGCCCATCGAGACCAAATCAAGACCGTCTTTGTCATTTCTACATTTATTTGTATTTTACTGTTATTTTGGCTCAAATATATCAATGTTTTTATAAATCTGTCTCCATTTTATCACTTGTCGAGTATCAGACTTTGAGACCGAGACAAGACCGAGTCTAAACATGGTCGAGTCCGAGACGAAAACAGTCTCGATGTACTACAACACTAGACAAATGTGCCAAACACAAATGTGCCAAACGTGGAAAAAGACACAGTATAAAGTATAAAGTATAAAGTATAAAGTAGACATACATTCCAGTATAATATCAGTATAAAGTATAAGTATACTATATTATTATTTCATACTGTATATTTTTACGTATTATTACAGTATGTATTTAGTATTACAGTATCAGTATACATAAATCTTATTATCAGTATACTTTTATATAAAGTATTATACAGAGACAGACTAAAGTGAGTATACAGTTGTATCGTTAGTATACACGAGTATACAGACGAGACAGAAACAGAGTCAGTATACAAGATGTACTACAGTAACTATAACATAAATACGTACAGACAAATACAACACAGTAAAAAAGTACAGTACAGTATAAAATGTATACAGTATATACAGTATACAGTATAACAAGTATACAGTATAAAGTATACAGTATGTAAAGTAACAGTATACAGTATAAAGTAAAGTATACAGTATAAAGTAAGTATAAAGTACATAAAGTATACAGTATAAAGTATAAGTAAGTATACAGTATAAAGTATACAGTATAAAGTATACAGTATAAGTATACAGTATATAAGTATAAAGTAAGTATAAGTATACAGTATACAGTATACAGTATAAGTATAGTAAAGTATAGTATACAGTATAAAGTATAAGTATACAGTATAGTAACAGTATACAGTATAAAGTATAAAGTATACAGTATAAAGTAAAGTATACAGTATAAAGTATACAGTATATAAAGTATAGTAACAGTATACAGTATAAAGTATAAAGTATAAAGTATACAGTATAAAGTATAAAGTATAAGTATACAGTATAACAGTATATAAAGTATACAGTATAAGTATAAAGTATACAGTATAAAGTATACAGTATAAAGTATAAAGTATACAGTATAAAGTATACAGTATACAGTATAAAGTATACAGTATACAGTATAAAGTATACAGTATAAAGTATAAAGTATAAAGTATACAAGTATACAGTATAAAGTATACAGTATAAAGTAAAGTATACAGTAAAGTATAAGTATACAGTATACAGTAAAGTATAAGTAGTACAGTATAAAGTAGTATAAAGTATAACAGTATAAAGTATACAGTATAAAGTATAAAGTATACAGTATAAAGTATAACAGTACAGTATACAGTGAGAGACTGACCTCCTCTCTTCAGGCTGTGCACCACCATGAGGCAGATCAGCACCATCTTGAAGATGAGGGTGTCGGGCAGGCTCGGGCAGGGGCTCGGGCAGGTGCCGGGGCAGGTGCCGGGGGAGGGGCTGTGGCAGGGGCTGTCGCGGGCGTCGTCCTCCTCGGCGCACGGCGAGTGCAGCGGCGCGTTCGGGCTCGGAGCAGGAACGTAGAACAGCACCAGGTTAAAGTCCTCCAACACCGACTGGCACAGGGTGGTCAGCTCCACGTCCACCAGACTGTCCACAGGAAGAGACATCAGAGACAACATGTCCACAGGAAGAGACATCAGAGACATGTCCACAGGAAGAGACATCAGAGACATGTCCACAGGGACAAGAGACATCAGAGACAACATGTCCACAGGAAGAGACATCAGAGACAACATGTCCACAGGAAGAGACATCAGAGACATGTCCACAGGAGAGACAAGAGACATCAGAGACAACATGTCCACAGGAAGAGACATCAGAGACATGTCCACAGGAAGAGACATCAGAGACAACATGTCCACAGGAAGAGACATCAGAGACAACATGTCCACAGGAAGAGACATCAGAGACATCAGAGACATGTCCACAGGAAGAGACATCAGAGACAACATGTCCACAGGAAGAGACATCAGAGACATGTCCACAGGAAGAGACATCAGAGACATGTCCACAGGAAGAGACATCAGAGACATGTCCACAGGAAGAGACATCAGAGACATGTCCACAGGAAGAGACATCAGAGACAACATGTCCACAGAGACATCAGAGACATGTCCACAGACATCAGAGACATGTCCACAGGAAGAGACATCAGAGAACATGTCCACAGAGAGACATGTCCACAGGAAGAGACATCAGAGACATGTCCACAGGAAGAGACATCAGAGACATGTCCACAGGAAGAGACATCAGAGACATGTCCACAGGAAGAGACATCAGAGACAACATGTCCACAGGAAGAGACATCAGAGACAACATGTCCACAGGAAGAGACATCAGAGACATGTCCACAGGAGACAGAGAGACAAACACAGAGTATAAATCAGCGTTGAGGTTCAGTCAGTTTGTTCGTGTGATGTTGGCTCTGGCTCTTTAATGTTTCTTTAATCATTAAAATGATTCTGTTATTTCAGGGACAAAGGTTCCCACCTGTTTTTGGGCTGAAGGAGACTCTGCAGATACATGAAGCTCACCAGGAGACGCTTCATGTCTTTGGACCTGTGGAGGAGAACAAACACACACACAAACACACGAGTCAACAAGAGATAACATATACAAGAATATACAAAACTATAGCTGCAAGCAGCAGTGATCGGCCCTCGTGCACAAACACTGTGTCCTGCAAACGCCAATTTTCACCAAAATCAGAGTCCACATGCACCAATGGGAGGTGTTTGTACAGATACAAAAACGCCATAAATTTTGTGCAATTTTTGCGGCTTTGCTGTGCAGAGACTGAAACCCAGAATTTACACCAGGAGTGTGAGCAACATGTGACTGAGGCAGAGCTGCACACACACGAACTTCTAACAGTGTCAATTTACACAAGAGGCAACAGAGATGCTCCTGTGACTCCAGTCGCTGTGTGTTCCCACGTTTAAACTCTAAACTCTGTGTCTTCTCACGTTTAAACTCTAAACTCTGTGTCTTCTCACGTTTAAACTCTAAACTCTGTGTCTTCTCACGTTTAAACTCTAAACTCTGTGTCTTCTCACGTGTTTAAACTCTAAACTCGTGTCTTCTCAAACTCGTGTTCTCTAAACTCTGTGTTTCTCGTGTTTAAACTCTGTGTTCTCGTGTTTAAACTCTGTGTTCTCGTGTTTAAACTCGTGTTTAAACTCTGCGTGTTCTCGTGTTTAAACTCTGCGTGTTCTCGTGTTTAAACTCTGCGTGTTCTCGTGTTTAAACTCGTGTTTAAACTCTGTGTTCTCGTGTTTAAACTCTGTGTGTTCTCGTGTTTAAACTCTGTGTTCTCGTGTTTAAACTCTGTGTGTTCTCGTGTTTAAACTCTGTGTGTTCTCGTGTTTAAACTCTGTGTGTTCTCGTGTTTAAACTCGTGTTAAACTCTGTGTTCTCGTGTTTAAAGTTCTCGTGTTTAAACTCTGTGTTCTCGTGTTTAAACTCTGTGTGTTCTCGTGTTTAAACTCTGTGTTCTCGTGTTTAAACTCTGTGTTCTCGTGTTTAAACTCTGTGTGTTCTCGTGTTTAAACTCTGTGTTCTCGTGTTTAAACTCTGTGTTCTCGTGTTTAAACTCTGTGTTCTCGTGTTTAAACTCTGTGTGTTCTCGTGTTTAAACTCTGTGTTCTCGTGTTTAAACTCTGTGTTCTCGTGTTTAAACTCTGTGTTCTCGTGTTTAAACTCTCGTGTTCTCGTGTTTAAACTCTCTGTGTTTAAACTCTCTCGTGTTTAAACTCTGTGTTCTCGTGTTTAAACTCTGTGTTCTCGTGTTTAAACTCTCGTGTTCTCTGTGTTCTCGTGTTTAAACTCTGTGTTCTCGTGTTTAAACTCTGTGTTCTCGTGTTTAAACTCTGTGTTCTCGTGTTTAAATTCTCGTGTTTCTCTGTGTTCTCGTGTTTAAAACTCTGTGTTCTCGTGTTTAAACTCTGTGTTCTCGTGTTTAAACTCTCGTGTTTAAACTCTGTGTTCTCGTGTTTAAACTCTGTGTTCTCGTGTTTAAACTCTGTGTTCTCGTGTTTAAACTCTGTGTTCTCGTGTTTAAACTCTGTGTTCTCGTGTTTAAACTCTGTACACTCTCACCTCTGTCGGGACGGGGACAGTTTCTTCAGCTCCTGTTTCTTCACTTGTTGGTACATCTTGGCAGCTTTGTCGAAAAGACGTTTGAGGTTCCCGTACGCACCTTCGAAGGGCGTCTCTGATTGAATACTGAATACACACAAACACACACACACACACACACACACACACACACACACACACACACACACACACACACACACACACACACACACACACACACACACACACACACACAAACACACACACACACACACACACACACACACACACACACACACACACACACACACACACACACACACACACACACACACACACACACACACACACACACACACACACACACAAACACACACACACACACACACACACACACACACACACACACACACACACACACACACACACACACACACACACACACACACACACACACACACACACACACACACACACACACACACACACACACACACACACACACACACACACACACACACACACACACACACACACACACACACACACACACACACACACACACACACACACACACACACACACACACACACACACACACACACACAACACACACACACACACACACACACACACACACACACACACACACACACACACACACACACACACACACACACACACACACAACACACACACACACACACACACACACACACACACACACACACACACACACACACACACACACACACACACACACACACACACACACACACACACACACACACACACACACACACACACACACACACACACACACACACACACACACACAAAACACACACACACACACACACACACACACACACAAACACACACACAACACACACACACACAAACAAACACACACAAACACAAAGAGCATGTCAAACACAACGCTTTAAAAAGATGCAGTGTGGAACATTTCCACACTGTGTTATTTCTTTGTCTAAATTAAACCCATCAAACACCAAAGAGACGAGCAGGTCTCAACACTACGCTACATTACAGGTCAGATCCGTGGAGAGGCGTCTCTTCTCACAGGAGGAATTACTGTAGTTTTGATCAACAGAAAACCACGTAAAGAATCAAAGCTGATGGAAAAGTTTAAAGTTTGTTTTATTCTGTTTTCTGATCTGTTCTAAAGTCGTTTCCTCGTCACACACAGACCTGGAGATGTGTTTCGTTTCATTCAACATAAAACAGAACAACAGAAAACACTCTGTTCCACCTTGTGATGTCATCATGTGGTGACACAGGAAGTGCTCCACTGTGTTTTTAAACTCCACACACCTTCACTACAATCACGTGGATAATAGTTTCAGTCCTGGAGTCGCCGATCTCGACTGAACTAAAGGGAAAAGGAGCTGAGAACATGAAAACTACCACTTCATGACATCACAAGGTGGAGCAGAGTGTTTGGAGATGTAAACAGACAAATAATAAAGAGTCACTCAAACATGTGTGAATGGAACAAACACAACTCCAGCTCTGTGTGTGACGAGGGAACGACATTAGAACATGATTTAAATATCACAAGAGTGTGTTTTGTGTCATACAGGAGTTTTAAAGTCACACCATGGAACATTTTAGAGAAAGTTATGACATCTCCATGGAGACAGGCAGGTTGCACAGTGCACTTTTAATGTCATTGTGTTTTTCTGGATTCAGGTTTTGAATGATCTCTCTTTAACTGTACCAAACATTTCCCATAAAACATCAACAGAAACAGAACAACCAAAGTCTTGTTTTCAGTTTTTAAAAAAGATGATCAAATTTCAGGACCATTACAAACCCTGAGATTGACTCCTACTGTTTCAGGATGGGTCGACATAATCAACAAAATTCAGGTTATGGAACAAATAACATTTTCTTTAAGACACTCCTCTGTTCTGGAAAAAGAGGAAATCTTATAATCAAAATAAATCTTAATGTAAAAAAGTTTGCAGATGTCACAAGCTTGATGGTCACTATTTTATTTTTATTTCCTTTTTTTTTTTTTTTTTGGTTGGTCTGATGATTTATTCTGTTTCACAACACTAATAATTTGTGTATGTAAATATGTGATATTCATTAAACTAAAATGTTCCAATAAAAATGAAGTAAAAAAAAAAGACATGTTGTTTAGAATTAAATATAACAAAGTGGACACTCTGAGCTCATACACTGGGAAACATGAATAGAACTAGTGTAGAAAATAATGATGATTATATAAGAACGGTCAAGTCTAAATTCAAATTCTCCTGGTGTTTCAGAAACGTGCAGAAAACACGCCCTCTGCTGTTCAAAACTGGAATTGATTTAAAGTTGTTCTTATGTTATTAGATTCTTTTTTCAGACCAAGAGTTTGTTTTTATACCTAATAGTTTGTACTGGACTGGTGCACGTGTAGTGTACAAAAATATTGAAATATCAATATATCGTATCGTTTATTCTGATGATTCAGTATCGATATCATGGGCTGCTGAATCGATATATCACCAAGAGGATTTTTTTTGGTTTATTTTACTAAATTATTTTGTTACAACAACTTGTTTCTGTGACACATTTGACATTTTCCAAGTTTTAATGATTAAAATGTTAGTGTTTTATATGAGCTTTGCAAAAGAAGTGATTTAGACAAAGATTTTTAGTGTCACAGATGTGATTTTGACATTTTTCAGTTATTTGAAATATATCGTATCGAATTGAAAGTATCGGCAACTTCTTAATGATCCCAGCTCTAATCACATGACGACTCTGAGGAAAGCGTCAGTGTAACAGGTGATAATATATGTAACAGTTCACTCGTTTTACCCGTAGATGGCGCTGGTTTACTCAGAGAACATGTGAGAGAATTTACTTAAAAGTTTTCTCATACAGTTTTATATGTAATTTCTCGTTATTTGTTATTTTTTTATAAGGCTACTTGAGCAATACTATTTTATTTTGCACAATATTGTACATTTGAGTCTAGTTTAAGGTCATAAAATTAATTCCTGCTAATTAAGAAACAACTGAGAAATAAATATTTAAGTTTTCAGTTCACTGGTTTATTTATGAGTTGACCAAAGTGATATGTGTGTTTTATGTGTTCATGTGAAACTTTGTGTGTACGTGTAATATGAGACAGAGTTTATGTTTTATTTTATTTTATGTGTTTGTTAGTTCTACGGGACGTCAAGACTGAAAACAAACCAACACTGTGAGGAAACTGTCGGGTCTGAAAACAAAGCCTTGGTCTGAAAAAAGAACCTAATAACATGAATTAAATGAACATAAACGTGACAGGAGTAAAGTCGTTCTTGTTTTGATCATGTTTTGATCACACTGAGCCCCAGTGCAGTGACCTCTGACCCGACTCACCAGCGCAGGTAGTAGTATGTGGCGTCCACGTTGTAGAACTTGCTTCCTGCCAGTGTGCCCAGCTGGTTAAAGGGCATCCCTGCACAAAACACAGAAGAAAACACCTCTGTTACCTCCAACTCTGAGTTTAACCTCCTTTTACCTCCTCCCTCCTCTTAACGTTAATGTTACGATTAATATTTAGATTTTGATTTGTTTCTTTGTGAATTACTCTGTGTAAGAATTGTGCTGGACAAATAAATGTGCTTAACCTTAAAAACTCAAACTTAAAAATTTAAACTTAAAAACTTACACTTGCTTAAACTTAAAAAACGTAAATAAAAAATGTAAAAACTTGAATTAAAAACTTAAACCTGAACATTTTAAAATTATAAACTCAAAAACTCAAACTTGCTTAAACTTAAACTAAAAACTTGAATTAAAAACTTAAAAACTCAAACTTAAAAACTTATATTTGCTTAAATTTTAAACTTTAAAAAATGAACTTAACAAACTAAACTTTCCTTAAACTTAAAAACGTAAATTAAAAACTTAAATTAAAAATGTAAAAATTAAAATTAAAAACTGAAACCTGAACATTTAAAATTAAAAACTCAAAAACACAAACTTCCTTAAACTTAACTTAAAAATTTAAAAACTTCAATTAAAAACTTAAAAACTTACACTTGCTTAAACTTACAAACTTAAACTTCAAATATAATCTTGGCTATAATCTTTACATATTTACATTTTTAATGTTCATTAATATGTGCTGTCCCTTTACAAATAAATGAAATAAGAAGAAATAAATATACAAATAAATCTTGCGTTGCCGTAAAAACAGGTGGATTTAAAGCAACAGTTGCTGCTCAGCTTCTTATGAATTTTAGATAGTTATAGTAGTTATTTTATTTTCTATTTAGTTTCAGATCAACCTCCAAGATAATTGTTCTGCCAATAAACCTCAGGCAGCTTCTGAAACAAGATCAGGGCTCAGGCTGGAGAGATATATGTAGAGGACATGACATTATTAAAGATATCAGCGAGATTAAACACAAACCGAGTCACACATCTGCAATTTGAAAGTTTAAACACAAGACACAAAATTGTACAATTGACTTCTGAGCTTCCACGTGTTTTCTACAAAGTCATAATGTCTCATGAACACAGCCCACTCCAGTGTGTTTATAAAACATGTAATAAGTGAAGCAGAGCAGTTGTTGGGTCTGTGTCTGTGTATTTGTGTTTGTGTTTGTGGTGTTTCTCGACTCACCCACATGAGGCAGGACACACAGAGCCTGGTGATAGAAACGCTCGGCCAGCTGCTCCGTCTCCACTCCGGCCAGCTCGTTCTGATAACGCGCTGAAGAAACAAACACCAGGTCACAGATCAGACCAGAGACCAGAGAAAAACGAACCCAACCCCCACAGACTGCAGAAGAGGAGTTCTGAGGACCCCACACTTCAAATGTAAAGACTTAAAGACAAAAGTCCAGTCTTGGTGTGTTCACTTTACCTAAATCTCCGAGGTAAACCAGACACCTGTGACACGCCAACTGAGCCCACTCCATCTCTTTGGGAGACGCAGAGAGAGCCTTCCTGCGAACTGTGAAAACACACACAGTTACACACAGTTACACACAGTTACACACACATTTGCACACATTTACACATATTTACACACACATACACACATTTACACACACATTTACACACATTTACACACCTACGACCAAAATCAGGTTTAGATTCATGTTTAAGGTTTAAGTAAAGAGCTTTTGATATGGTTGACCACCAAACATTATTAACTAGGTTAACAAAATTTTATTTTTCTGAGCAGGTCAAAATTTGGATAAAATCATACTTGGCAAATCGAACCCATTGTGTGTCCGTCAGCGGTGTCAAATCCCCATATGTCGATTGCAAGGCTGGAGTACCACAAGGCTCCATACTTGGACCCTATTTTATTTTCATTATACATTAATGATCTGCCGAATGTTTGTACGGACATTAATATTGTGTTGTCTGCTGATGATGCCGTCATTTTTACAAAAGCAAAATCTGTCATAGAAGCTTCAGAGAAGTTCACATCAGCGAGAATCACCTGTTTAGACAAGTGTCTGACCAAGTCCAGTCTCTTACTGACACTAAAAAAACTGTTTTCATGCTTTTTTCAAAATGTCCATCAAAGTCTTGTTTAAATGTGTTGCTGAGGGGTGAGGGACTCCAGTTTGCAGATGAATTTAAGTATCTTGGTGTTACCTTGGACTCCACTTTAACTTTTAAAAAACATGTAAAAAACATAAAAAAATGTAAAAAAAAAATTAAATTTTAATATTCACAATTTTAGGCAAATTAGAGCATCATCGCCAGAAAATGCAGCTAAAATGTTTCTCCACAGCAGGATTCTCTCTCATATTGAACACTGCATCACTAACTGTTCACTGACAAACACGACAACCTTCAAAATAATAGAATCACTTTTTTAAAAAGCGTTAAAGATATTTGATAGGAAATCTTCATCGCTTCATCATTGTCTCATAATACAGAAGTATAATATCTTAAGTTCTGGACATTTTCAAAAATTTAAACTCGTCTGCTCAGTCTACAAAGTCTTAAATGGACTCGCTCCACCAGCTCTGGGTGAGTTCATTAAGCCCAAGTCGGGGAACAAGAGCCTCGACCAGAAACGACTGTGCAAAACCCTGTAGACGCACGACTCTCAGTCAACAGGTGTGATCAGTCAAGGAACAGAAATCTGAACAACATCCAGCTGCTAGAAGAGACTCCACCACATTCAGTTCATTTAAAACTAATCTGAAACCAGATCTGTGTCACTAATGTTCTGCTCCTGTGTAAATGTCAGTGTTGTGTGTCATGTTTGTGTGTTTGTCTATTGTGACGTGTTTTATGTTCTTATGTTTTATGTCTCTGTCTCTCTGAGCTGCAGGACGACAGATGAAAAGAACCTTTGGGCTAATTCTGGGGTATTTACAAGTACATGTTCATGAATATACATTGTCCCTTTTAAATAAATAAATAAATAATAAAATAATAAGTCGTAGCCTCTGTTCGACCTGACTTGATAATTACTGT